TTTTTTTTTTAAATTCCATCAAATTCCTTTTAAAAAAAAAATAGTATTCTTACCTTCTCCTTTTACATGGACTATACTCTGTGTTTTTTTTCCATTGGAAGGTCTAGGTAAAGACTCCAACACTTTCTCAGGGACATACTGTTGAGGTAATATCAAGCATGAGTTTCCATTTAAAAAATTACAATGAGTTGCATAAAAAGTTTCCTATCAATTTTTTTTCTTTTTTTGAAACAGGGTCTCACTCTGTCACCCAGGGCTGGAATGTAGTGGCATGATCATGGCTCACGGCAATCTTAACCTCCCGATCTCCAGCAATCTTCCCACCTCAGCTTCCTGAGTAACTGGAACTACAGGTGCGTACCATCATGATAGGCTTTTTTATTGTTATTTTTGTAGAGACAAGGTCTCACTCTATTGCCCAGGCTGGTCTCAACCTCCTGGTGTTTTTTGTTTTGTTTTGTTGTTTTTCAGTCAGAGTCTCACTCTGTCACCAGGTGCCAGGCTGGAATGCAGTGGCATGATCTCGGCTAACTGCAACCTCACCCTCTCGGGTTCAAGCAATTCTCCAGCCTCAGCCTCCTGAGTAGCTGGGACTACAGGCCTACACCACCACACCCAGCTAATTTTTTTTATATTTTAGTAGAGATGGGGTTTCACCATGTTGGCCAGGATGGTCTCTATCCCTCGACCTCATGATCCACCCACCACCTCGGCTTCACAAAGTGCTGGGATTACAGGCGTGAGCCACCATGCCCGGCCCAAACTCCTGGTCTTAAGTAATCCTTTCACTTCTGCCTCCCAAAGTGTTGAGATAACCAGTGTGCACCACCACACCCCGCACTAATCAATTTACTTAAAAAATTTCAGTTTACCCAAGCTTGGTGGCTCACTGTTAAAATCCCAACCCTTTGCAAAACCAAGATACTTGAGCTTGGAGTTCAAGACAAGCTTGGGTAACATAATGAGAACCTGTCTCTACAAAAAAAATACCAAAATGAGTTAGTCATTGTGGTGTGTGCCTGTAGCTCCAGCTACTTGGTAGGCTTATGTGGGAGGATTACTTGAGCCTGGGAGGTGGAGACTGTAGAAAGCCAAGGTCATGCCACTGCATTCCAGCCTAGGCAACAGAGCAAGACTGTCTCCCCCTAAATTTCAATTTACTATTTTAAAACTAATTTGTCTTAAAAAAATAAGAGAAGCATGTACTGAAGACCAAAGCATTCCAGTAAAGAATGTCATCTACACTTTCTAGATCAGGCTCATCTGTTATCTTCGTATGTCCATTCACTTGCTTATCCAAGCACGGCAGCCCAAAGAAAACATATTCAGAAAAAGAATATCAGCATGTGCATATTTCAGTCAGAAACTAGCTTCAAGGTACCTAACTCTACTTTGTAATCTCCACCAAAAATAAGAAAACATTTTAAAAATACATACTGGCAGCCGAGCGCAGTGGCTTATGCCTGTAATCTCAGCACTTTGGGAGGCTGAGTCGGGAGCATCACGAGGTCAAGAGATCGAGACCATCCTGGCCAACATGGTGAAACCCCGTCTCTACTAAAAAATACAAAAATTAGCTGGGCATGGTGGCGCACGCCTGTAGACCCAGCTACTCAGGAGGCTGAGGCAGGAGAATTGCTGGAACCTGGGAGGCAGAGGTTGCAGTGAGCCTAGATTGCACCACTGCTCTCCAGCCTGGTGCCTGGAAACAGAGCAAGACACTGTCTCAAAATATAAATGTATATATGATATATATATATATTATAATGTTATCCATATATGTTACATATATAATATGTATGATATGTTATACATATGATATATATTTTGGCCAGTTGGATTGGCTCACGTTTGTAATTTCAGCACTTTGGCAGGCCTAGGGGAATGTACCACTTGAGATCAGGAGTTTGAGAGCAGCCTGACCAATACAGTGATACTCTGTGTCTACCAAAAATAAATAAATTATCCCAGATTGGTAGTGTGCACCTATAGTCCCAGCTGCTTGGGAGGATGAGACAAGAGAATTGCTTAAACCCAGGGGGTGGACATTGCACCACTGCAGTCCAGCCTGGGTAGAAGAGCAAGATTCCATCTGAAAATGTTATGTATATACAAATATATATATATATAATACATATATAATGTATATGTATATATAATATATATATGTATATATAAAATTATATATATTTTATAAAATATATACGTATATAATATATATATCTATATAAGACATATATAAATATGTATTACTTGGTGTCATACATACAATATTAAAAAAATTAAATATCCTCATATAAATATTTCAGTGTTAAGATATTTATGATAGAAAACTTGGAAATATGTCATATTGAGTATCAATAAAACACCATAGAAGATGCTTCATTTAGGTAAACAAAGACTTCGAAAACACTACATTTTTGTTATAAAATCCTTACTGACAGAAAAACAGAGGTTCAATAGAATGATAATATAGTAATAAAATTTGTTATATTTAAATAAAAGCAAGCAAATATGTGACCAACTGTGAAAATACTGCTTTTTTTTTTTTTATTATATTTTTAGTTCTGGAATATATGTGCAGAACATGCACGTTTGTTACCTAGGTATACACGTGCCATGGTGATTCGAGGCATCCATCAGGCCAGGGGCAGTGAACCACAGCTTTAATCTTAAGACTTTGAGAGGCCAAGGTGGTTGTATTGCTTGAGCCCTGGAGTTTAAAACCAGCCTGGGAAAAATGGTCAAACCCCATCTGTACAAAAGACACATAAATTAGCTTTGCATGGTGGTCCATGCCTGTAATCCCAGATACTCAGAAGACTGAAATGGAAGGATTACATTACCCTGTAAAGTCAAGGCTGCAGTGAGCTGAAATTGCGCTACTGCACTTTAGCATAGGCAACAAAGTGAGACCCTGTCAAGAAAGAAAAGAGAAAAGGAAAGAAAAGGATGAGAAAGAAAAGAAAAAGAGAGAGAGAAAGAACAAACTTCAAAAGTGTAGCAAGCTTTCTTTAAAAGGAAGAAAAAAAAACATTTATTTAGGAAGTATCTAAAATGTGCCAGGATTCTATTTCACATTTGCTGTACATAGTGTAATTATAAAAAATAATTTTGATGATGGCTTTCTGCCCATTCCAGGGAGTTAAGAGCAAACTGATGGATAGGATCTTTTGTTCTCTCCATTCAGAATTTCCTCCTCTTAGACTTTCACATGGCTGGCTCTTTCTCATCCTTTAGTTGGCAGCTTAAATCTGATCTCAGAGGGCTGTTCTCTGACCACAGATTTCCAGTCCTACTCCCATTCGCATCCTAACTACAAACTTTGTTATCTTCTAACATTTTCTGTTTTCTTTATGGAAAGCATTTATAGTGAGAAGTATTTGCTCTTTTTCTGTTCTTACTGCTATAGCATAAGATCTCATCTTGTATATTCAGCATCTCACTGACTAGCAGAGTTTATGATCTATAACCAAAATAAATTCTAGGTCAAATCACTTAAAATTTCATCAGAAAGTCTCATGTGCCAAACCCTGTGTTCCTACAGGACATCTTCATTCGTAGTAGCCTGCTGAAACTGAACACACCCCTACCCCAAATTTAAAATCCACGTGCCATTTCCTACTTTTCCATTCTTTTCTTGATGCTACTGCCATTTTATCATCCTTCAGGTTTACAAAAATTTTCCTCGAGATTTACTAAGTCACAGAATACTGAATACTGCTGTGATCATTTTGTCTCGAATGTGTAAACATATTTTCCAGATTACATATGCTTTTACATTTCCTACTACTTCTGTTTATTACACATACCTTAGTACCATTTTTATGAACAAGGTCAATGACAATAAATAATTTTTCCCAAGGTCCCATACCTAGTAAGTGGCAGAACCAGGATGCTAACATGTCTTTTGACTTCTACTTGGTGCTGGTAAAACTATGCACAAGCTGCTTCTAGCAAAAAATCAGGCCCCTCCCATTTCTCTCCATAGACATAACATTACAGTACACAATTATTACTTTATACTTCTGCTGCTATAAGTGTGGCTGCCACAGTAGTATTTAGTGTGTTCTCTTTTTGAAAATGACTTCCACTTACAACACTAAACAATTGTAATTACAGTCCCACATAGTTATTATTCCTCATGCTTTTTCTATTAACCTAAAATGTTCATTGTAGATCTGTATTGGACAATCAAAATATATAAACATACTAAAATCCCAGCATTATCTTTTCAAGTTCCAATTTCAATAAAAACTACAATTCAGGCCGGGCGCGGTGGCTCAAGCCTGTAATCCCAGCACTTTGGGAGGCCGAGGCGGGTGGATCACGAGGTCAAGAGATCGAGACCATCCTGGTCAACATGGTGAAACCCCGTCTCTACTAAAAATACAAAACATTAGCTGGGCATGGTGGTGCGTGCCTGTAATCCCAGCTACTCAGGAGGCTGAGGCAGGAGAATTGCCTGAACCCAGGAGGCGGAGGTTGCGGTGAGCCGAGATCGCGCCATTGCACTCCAGCCTGGGTAACAAGAGTGAAACTCCGTCTCCAAAAAAAAAAAAAAAAAAAAAAACTACAATTCAAACTGTTTCTAACTCTCCTTTTGATTTTGCACATCCAGACGTACCACAGAATGATACATTTGGCCACAGCTTAACCTGAAATAATTCTTTTTCTTTTTTTCTTTTTCTTTTTCTTTTTTTTTAAATAAAGATGGGGTTTCACCATGATGGCCAGGATGGTCTTGAACTCCTGACCTCAGGTGATCCACCCACCTCGGCCTCCCAAAGTGCTAGGATTACAAGCCTGAGCCATAGCGCCCGGCCCTGAAATAATTCTTTAGATTTTAGATAAACTTATTTTGATAACACAAAGTGATTTTTCACAAATTCTAAGCTTTATTTGGCTGGGACTATAGTATACTTTTTCCTTAAATGAATCATGCAAATTACAGAATTATACTATGAAGCAGTAATTTACTTAGCACCTATTATTAATTATGAGCTAAAAAATGAGAAAATGATTGTGGGTATATGCAGGAGGAAATTATTTGCATAAATCACATCTTGTGGGGGAAAATGAGAATTTAGTTCATAGTAGTACCTCATTTAAGTGGGTTGGCTCTGCAAATAGTGTTAGTTGCTTTTATTCTGTTTGTCAAAAAGATAAAGATAAATGTATATATTCTGCTCTTCCAAAGGAAAAAAAAAAAAAAAAAAGAACAAATCTTGTGGACAATAATTGTTGAATGACAGCCACACATAGATAACTAAAGAGAAAGCTGTAACTAAATATGCTGACAATGAAGACATAGGTGGGCTGAAAGACCGATCACTAAAGAAATCAGATCTACAAGAAATTTTATTAGGTGGGGATAAATCATTTTTAAAATGTGAGCATGAAGGGGCAAACAGCAAACAAGCCTAGTCAATTTAATCTGATCTTCAGCCAAGAAAAACAAGAAACAACATGACATGCAGTAGTATACGGAGAAATAGATATGTAACAGAGCCTTTTATTCCTTTATAGCCCTAACAATACAGGTTAATACTTAATGCTACAATTCATTTTTTAAAAATATTTATGTGATACAGAGTTTAATTTTATTACTATAAAACATTCAATTAGCTAACCAATGTCATGTATCACTACCTGAAAGACCGTTATTACTACAGAGAGGGAAAATTAGAATTTTCCATCAACTTTCCACCTACAGAAAGAATTGGTCACCAGAATTCTAAAGAGTAATGCATGGCTTATAAAGGCATATTTATTAGAAGCCTGAGTTGGAGCTAATAAAATGTTTAAAAAATTTTAGTCTAAAATCACAATCTAAGATTCCAGTTGAATTATACTAGAAAATATATTCTAACCCTCTTTGCTATTAATGACCTATTTCTAATTTATTTCCTTTTATTTATGGCATCATTTCTCAGAATAACACATCAAAACTTATACATCCTTAAACATTAAAAAAAATAATACAAATGTAAGCAAGATTTTTAACTGCAGTATTTAATCAGTACATTATGTGTACTACTTATAACATTACATTATATAAAATTTTATTCTTCTGTTTACTCAGATTAAACAACTATTAAGGCTGAATGTGGCAACTCATGCCTGTAACCCCAGCACTTTTAGAGGCTGAGGCGGGCATATCATGTGAGTCCAACAGTTAAAGATCAGCCTGGGCCACAAGGCAAAACCCCATCTCTACAAAAAATAGAAAACTCAGCCAAGCATGGTGACAAAGGCCTACAGTGCCAGCTACTTGAATGGCTGAGGTGGGAGGATCACCTGAGCCCAAGAAGTGAACACTGCAGTGAGCCAAGATCCCACCATTGCACTCCAGCCTGGATGACAGAGTCAAACTCCATCTCGAAAAAGCAACAATTACAATGCTTCCTACACAGAAGACTGCATTCCAGGTTCTCCAGGATACACACAAATAAGTCTATGACCGCCAGTATCTTGTAGTATGCAGAAACTTCAAATGATTATTTAAACAACTAAATATAAAAATTTCTGAAATTTTACATTTCTGAATGTAATATAAAGACTTTGAGTGGATGTTTTAAATCAACTACAATGACAAAATTATGGTGTTAAAGTTTTACCATATTGGTATTAAGAGTCTGTTTATGTAACTGATAATTTGCAGTAAAATATATGTTATTCATTAGACGAAGTATTTTACATATACAATTTATGGACAACTTATAATACACACAAAAATCCATTTGTAATACAAATTTTGATAACAGAAATTTAAATTTCTACAATTTATATTTTTAAAGCAGATACAATCTGGTCATGTTGCCCAGGCTGTTCTCAAACTCCTGGGCTCAAGCAATCCTCCTGCCTCAAACCCCCAAGTAGCTGGTACTACAGGTGTACACCACCCTAACCAATTAGTATTCTACAAATATTAATATTATTTTAGTCTCACTATAGAATAATATAAGTAGAAAAACAAATCTCTCCTCAAAACTACATGATACAAAAATACTAAGTGTCCAAAAAAAGCTATATGCTATGTGCTGTACAGTTTTGTAAATAAAAGGTACCAGGGAGATTCCCTGATAACTACAAGTAATTTGATTCATGGAAGAATTATACAGGCATAAATATTATGAAAGTAGCACTAGTATGATTTAAAAGCCAATATTAATATTTATCCAAATAAACCTTAACCAAATTTTATGTTTCCTTTCTTAGGGAAAGCATTTTCTAATTTGATTTTCCTGTCACTATGCATTTTCCAGTTCATTGTCTTTCAGCCCCCACCCCATCACAGTACTTAATTATCTTTTGTTAGTTATCAAGGTTAAACAATTTTTTTTTAATCAACTAGCCATGTCCATGCTTTTCTCTAACCAACTTTTTATTCCAACATAGAAAAAGATAAACCACTGCTAAATTTTAAAAGTTATTAATATGCAAAACTTGACTGAGTGAGAAAATTAATTTTACAAGAGGCCACTTTAACTTGGTGGTAACAGTCAAGCTGTCATCTTCTCGCTTAGGGCATGAATTAACACACAGTTCATGGAAAATGCTTTAGAGCAAAAATATACAATGAATATGAGCAAGTTGTTCTTTACAAATTTTTTAACTGCCAGTTCATATTCAGCTTCTCCCTCCAAAAAACAAATTCACAATCTGGGAAAAGGTCAGCTATCTGTGCATTAAATAATGTTTCTTGATATAATTATCTGTTTTAGAAATAGGCTTCAGGTTTTTAAGTCTCTATGTACAATAGTCAATGAAAAGTGACCTTCAGCTGCATGTAACAAATAGTGACAGCCAATATATACCAGTGCCTGATGATAATTTTCCCTGACAAATTATCTATTCTGAAGTTGTACTTAAAATTCAACTAATAAATGACATAACTTTTGTTACCTAAACTGGAAGAAACCTGATGACCTAAAAGAAGGTAGAAACATCCACTGTTTCTTTTCCATTATCTATCTTTGGTTCAAAGACTAATCTGTCACTTCAAATTGGTAGTCTTGATTCCTCAGCATAGAAGCCACTTAAAGTCCCATTGCTTTCTTTTGTCCCAAAACAGTGCAGGGAATCACCTGCAATATTTGAAATGTGTGAATGCTAAGTACACAGAAGTCTAATAACAAAGGTATATGTTCTCTTTGATAATACTCTTCCCAGAAAGATTAATACATTAACAATAATAAAAATTCAATTTTACTCTATACGTCCTACATTTTTCAGGTCCACATTAACTAGGAAGCCCTTAAATCCTTCACAGGTAGGGCCGGGCACAGTGGCTCACACCTAAAATTCCAGCTCTTTGGGAGGCCAAAGTGAACAGATCACATGAGGTCAGGAGCTCAATACCAGCCTGGCCAACATGGTGAAACCCTGTCTCCACTAACAATGCAAACCTTAGCCAGGAGTGGTGGCAAACACCTGTAATTCGAGCTACTAGGGCCGCTAAGGCAGGAGAATCGCTTGAACCCTGGAGGTGGAGGTTGTGGTGAGCTGAGATCATGCCACTGTACTCCAGCCTGGGTGACGGAGCAAGACTCCCTCTTATAAAAAAAAAAAATCTTCATAGGCACTGAGATATCGAAGGAGAGAGACTGCTGGAAAAACAGAGTCCTGGTAGTCATACGCTATTTCCCTAAGTACTATCTAAATATCTTTCTTCCTATTGGCTTCCAGATTCCACTTCTGCAGGGCTCCATGGCAGTCTCCAATCTGTGAAAGCACAGATTCCTGAAAGGATGGCCTCAAATGACCAGGAGTGACTCTCTACATACCTGCTTCTGAATGACAACCTAACTGGAGTCTCCATCAACTGCCCCATCATAGACACACCTCCAATTACCCAACTGAACTTCATGACCGATTGGCCAGTCAACCATGTCCCTGACCCAGCCTACACGAACACTGGAAGGTCATCAAAAGCAGCAGAGGTGAGGAGGTACCTGCCCTGGGCTACAGATCTATATAGTTCAGCAATCTCCGCCCCTAGTACTCAAGAAGCTCTAAGCCACCCTTCTGTAAGTCAGAATGGAAGCACGTGATACCACATTTCTATCTGCTGTAGAGACCCTTCCCAGTGTCTCAAAATGTTTTAGCATCTGTCAGTAAAATTGTTCAAGTTTTTCAGTTATTGATAAAAAAAAAAAAGCACCTATTTAAAGCTCCCTTGAACTCTCTATTTTAATGTCTTTGTAAATTCCCAACATCTTGTGTTCATCTTTGTAATTTATCTTTATTAAACTTGTCATAAACTCCAATATTCTGATTTCTTACTGAAGAATCCGTATTCCTATCCAATCCAGTGTTGTTTCACTTCAAACTTGACCTTCCCCCTGCTCATTCCATTCTTCCCACTTCCATTGGGTTTATCAGTTAATTTCATTCTCATTCTATCCACTGGGTGCACCAGACTCACTGCCCATTTGTATCATCCTCCTCCTCCTCATCATTATTATCTGAGACAGAGTCTCGCTCTGTCACCAGGCTAGAGTGCAATGGTGCGATCTCGGCTCACTGCAACCTCCACCTCCCTTCTTCAAGCAAGTCTTCTGCCTCAGCCTCCCATGTAGCTGGAACTGCAGGTGCCCGCCACCATGCCAAGCTACTTTGTTTTGTATTTTTAGTAGACTGATTTTCAACATTTTGCCCAGGATGGTCTGGATCTCTTGACCCCATAATCTGTCTGTCTCAGCCTCCGAAAGATCCGGGATTACAGGTGTGAGCCACCACGGCGCAGCTGTAATCCCAGCTATTTGAGAGACTGAGGCAAAAAAATCTCTAGAACCCAGGCAGCAGAGGTTGCAACAAGCCAAGACTGCACCCCTGCACTCAAGCCTGGGCGAGAGAGCAAGACTGTCAACAACAACTAGAAAAAACACCCATGAAATAAAACCGAAGTACTGGGCTTTAAAATGAGTTTAAATCTCATTTCTGCCACTTGCTATGTCCAAAAAGAAAAGTATCTTAATGTATTTGAGTCTCAGGTCCTCTATCTAGAAAAACACTTGACCAGAATATTTAACACACGTTGAAGTACTAGAGGTTATGATCCTTAAATTTCTGAATTTAAGAATGATTCCTTAAATTTCTGAAATTCTGCCTGCTTTTGATTGTCTATAGGAAAATTGGGGATACATAGCCAGCAGAATTTGAAAAAAGTAATAGAACAAAATAAACACCAAAAGCAGAGAAAAACACTTTAAAACATAAAGACAAGGTTATGGAAATGTCATGGAAAAAGAAAAAAAGACTTAAAAAAAGGTATTGTAGCAGTTGAAATACTATCCTAAAGGGAAAACCAAACTGGGAAGTCAAATAATTTCTCTCTAAGACTTGCCTTATCTTGGTTTTGTAAAATTTACAATCCTATGGCCAAACCTTTACACTGCCCTAAAGCCTTTGATGGTAAAGATAAGATATTGGTTACCACTGCAATTTATCAAATTTAGTAGGACAAACTGTTAGACCAACCTCATTTCTAATAAACCATAAATGAGAGTTAACATATAACTAGATTCGACTGTATTAATTAATCGGATGCTAACATATATCTTGATGCAATTGCTGCACAGATATTCTTCCATCTATGCTGAGGAGCAAAACAAAGATTTGGAAACCAGGCAGGCTGATGGTTTAACTGTGAGTCAGCTACTTTTTTAACTATGGGGTCATGAGCCAATTAATCAACCTTTCTAAACCACAGTTGGCTATTTAATAAACAGTAGGTTGTAAGAACACAGATGTTGTGATGGCTTTATGACATAAATGTGTAGCACATAATAGGGTGGTTAGCCCAGAATACAACACTCAACAGATACTAGTTTCTTCCATCTCTATTTCCTTAGTTAATGTAATTTTTTAAATCTGTAAAATCCTACCTCGCAGCAGATTCATCAGAACTCCCAGAATCTATTAAAGGAAAAGGGAAAATGCATTATAAATCAATAATAAATATATAGAATATTAAAAACATAAGAAGGCACAGTCGTGTATGCCTATAATCTCAACTACTTGGGAGACAGAGGCAGGAGGATCACTTGAGAAACCCAGAAGTTTGAGACCAGTTTGGAAAACATAGCAAGATTCTACCTTCATAAAAAAAATTAGGCACATTTGTGTGCATGGTTTAGACCATTTTTCTTTAAATTATACGACTGATTTTTTTTTACAAAGCATTCCTTTGGGAGCATACCTTAGCTCTTATAAGAATTAATATAAATTATACATACTGGTATGTGATGAGTGCAGTAAGAACTCTTCCTTACTTTGTATTTATTAAATGCAAAGAATAAATTTCTCAAAATTTGGTATCTACAAGTGAACTGCAGAATATAAGTCATTGTAGACAAACCACATGGGATTCACTAAAACTGGTATTGTTATCAGAACGGTGTTATGAGTGACCAGTGTCAAAGAGCATGATTTCTGAACCAAAATATGAAGGGCAGTTAAAACAGAGTATATAGTACTTCCCTTATCCACGACGTATGAAAAAGACATACTTGCCACGTTTTTCTCTACTCTCACACCACAGAAACAATCATCAACAAAGAAGGCTTCCGTGATCAAATGTGGGGAGGGTTTTTTCCCCACCAACAACAAGCAATCATTTCTACACATGATACAAGCTGGGTGTCCTCTAATTTGGTTCTCATACTCTATCTGCAGATAGCAACAGATTCCACAGGTAAAGGGCTCCGTCCCATGACACTGCCTCCCTACATCAATCCTAAGTCTGAAACTCCAGAACTTCTGACCAACTGGCTTCAATTTGGGGTTCAACTGAGGTTCCCAGGACTCCCTCTTTGGGTTAGATTGAATTGCTGGCATAGCTTGAAGTACTGAGAGAAACATGTTTACCAGTTTGGTATGAATGACATTACAAAAAGTACAGATGAAGAGATGCACAGTGCAAAGTGTGGGGGAAGTGGAACAAAGATTACATGCCCTCCCAGGACACAGCATCCTTCAAGAAACAATGTATTCAGCGAACTGGAAGCTCTCTAAGCCCAGTCCCTATGGGTCTTTATGAAAGCTTTATTACATATGCACCACTGATTAAGTAAAGCACTGGCCATTGGTGACTGAAAACCTTCAGGCTTTCTCTTCGCCCCAGAGTCTGCAGTGAGACAGGGGATCTCAACCCTCTAATCAATGTCTTCACGATAGTGATCAGTTGCCATCCTGAATCTACATAGGGGTTTCCAGCCATCAGTCATGAGCATACAAAAAGACATCATCAGTTTGGAATTTCTAACGATTTCAAGAATTGTACACCAAGAAATGAGTCAACGTCCAAACAGAATTTACATTCGCAGTTATTATTTCTGTGGTTACAGTTAATAGTCAACTGTATTCCAAAAATATCATATGGAAAACTTAAGAAATAAACATGTCATAAGTTTCTGTGTGCCATTCTGAGAAGTGCAATGAAACCTTTAGCCCCCTCCAGCTAGAGCAGGATGTGAATTATCCCTTTGTTCAGTACATCCACCCTGCATATGCTGTTCACCCATTAGTCATCAACACGGTCTCCTGTTGCCAGCCAACAACATCATGAAGGCCTGAAGATCCATGGTCACGCACAGCTCATGATCTTTTTTCTGACTTAGATTCAGGGGGCGCATAGTGGCCTAACACTGCATTACAATGCCTACATCATTCACCTCACTGCATCTCATTACGCAGGCATGGTATCCCTTCACATCATCACAGGAAAAAGGATGAGAACCATCATAACAATATATTTTATTATGAGTTAATGTTGCTAATTTCTCACTGTACCTAATTTATAAATTAAATGCCATGACAGATATATATGTCTAGAAAAAATGGCATGTGATTCAGTACTGTTTGTGGTTTCAGGCATTTACTGGGAGTCTTGAAACCTATCTCCTACATTTAAGGGGGAACTACTGCACTTATTTTGTTGAACACAATACAGCCTCTGTAGCTCTGCAGTTAAAACCGTTCAGGTTAAGATAAAACAACTTATCACCGGAAGCCAACAAAACATAGGAATCAGACCAGAAGCAAGGATCCTTGCAAAAACTTTCCAGCTGCCAGTGGAGAAGAGCTCAAGAGAGATCAATGTGTTACTCTGGCTAATACTCTTCTGCGGAAGGTGCTGGGTGGTTTACTCAGTTGTAGCTATATGCTCAACTCTATGTATAACAAGGTCCAAATTCACCTGCCATTTTACCTCCGACAGAGAGAACCACTGGAAAGATCACTCCTTTAAGAGCTTATCCACTCCGAATCACACCTCACATTCAGAGAGAAGCTTAAGAAACACTGGGGAGGGGTGGCAGGCTGCCAGGCAGTACTATCTGATCTGAAAAATATATAGAAAGAAAACTATCAGTGCCCTCTTGCTACCTGAATCTGCCAATGCTTTCCCTTCTCCCTAGCAGGAGAAAAAAATTCTTTTTCAACCTCATATAAAGAAAAATTGTGTGATTTCCTTGCCATCCCTCATGACAGAGAATCAAGTCATAGGTGAGTCATGTCATCGTATTACACACTGTTTTCAAACTCATCCCTCAAAGGAAGAGGATCAATGAGGAGCATGGGTATTTACCTATAGCATTCACTGCCTGGTCTTATTTCCAACTGAAAGTATGTACGGAAGACTTTGTGATTCCAGTTTTATAAAGTACAACCTCTTGAACTTGCTCCCTTCCAAGGAACAGAGAGTCTATCTGAACCCGCCCCATAAACCAAGATGCTCCAGTTTGTGCTGTGTGGTAATGCATGGTGTCATTTTCCTCAACCCTTTCCATTATGTGGCAATTATCTACACAAAACATGTTTTCTAAATATGTAAAGCACATGTCATCAGATCTTATGATAAAACAGAAGAAAAAAGGACAAAGTATATCTTAAATGACTAAGTTCAATTACCATAGAACTTTTTTTTTTCTTTTTCTGAGTTTTTGAGGTTTTTTCCTTTTTTGAGTTTTGCTCGTTACCCAGGCTGCAGTGCAATGGCGCGACCTTGGCTCACCACAACCTCCACCTCCTGGGTTCAAGCAATTCTCCTGCCTTAGCCTCCTGAGTAGCTGAGACTACAGACCTGCGCCACCATGCCCCGCTAATTTTTGTATTGTTAGTAGAGACAGGGTTTCACCATGTTGACCAGGATGGTCTCGATCTCTTGCCCTAGCGATCCACCTGCCTTGGCCTCCCAAAGTGCTGGGATTATAGGCATGAGCCACCAAGCCCAGCCTAGAACTTTAATTTTTTAACTGGTCAAAAT